GGCCGAGGGAGATTGACAGTTATTTTATGTTTCTTCCATTTGCGAATAATCGCACCAACTGTTGTCACCTTCTCACCAAGCTGCTTGGCGATGGTCTTGTAGCCCATTCCAGCCTTGTGTAGGTCTACAATCTTGTCCCTGACATCCTTGGAGAGCTCTTTGGTCTTGGCCATGGTGGAGAGTTTGGAATCTGATTGATTGATTGCTTCTGTGGACAGGTGTCTTTTATACAGGTAACAAGCTGATATTAGGAGCACTCCCTTTAAGAGTGTGCTCCTAATCTCAGCTTGTTACCTGTATAAAAGACACCTGGGAGACAGAAATCTTTCTGATTGAGAGGGGGTCAAATACGTATTTCCCTCATTTAAAATGCAAATCAATTTATAACATTTCTGACATGCGTTTTTCTGGATTTTGTTGTTGTTATTCTGTCTCTCACTGTTCAAATAAACCTACCATTAAAATTATAGACTGATCATTTCTTTGTCAGTGGGCAAACGTACAAAATCAGCAGGGGATCAAATACTTTTTTCCCTCACTGTAAATCTAAAATGTCATAGAAAACAAATTGCAAGAACAGATCACTCTGTAGTTAGACGTTAACAGAATGTGTAATTTATCCTATTAATCACAAAAACAATGTTTTAAGTGAAAATTAGGCAGGTCTGACGCCAAAAAATAAAGGACATTATTGCCTATTTCACCCATAATTTATTTTATTTTTGCAAAAAGAATTGTGTGTAGTTCCAGTAGTTCGCTACACCACTACATGGCAAAAAAGTAATTAAATACTGAAAACACTACAAATTACTGCAAAATGTAGTTAGTTGAACTATTACTGCTCCCCAACACTGGTATACACACAGTTTATACAAACACACAACAATCCATAGATCCATAACACTGAAAAGTCAATTACTGCAGACAGTGTTGGATCATAGGATACATGTAGGATAAAGCCCCCAAGGTAGAACCTTAATCAATGTGGGAGGATCTTCAGTTACTGTGACCCTTGAGGGACAACATCATGTGTGAGTGAGAGGAGGTGGCATGACCCACATCCAGGTTCATCAATATTGGGTAACTCTGTGCATCAGGACAAGACTCATGCCCACACATCTCCCAGGGTGACTGAAATTCACCTCCACTGTTCTGTACTCATCTACTGTCTGCTGCACACCTGCATTCTCTAGCAGTTTGTGTGTGTGTGTGTGTGAGAGAGAGAACCTCACAAATTATGAATGCAAATATAATGCATGAGTATAACATTTTAACTAAACTTGAATTGCACTGTGATCTGAGCCCCATGGCCATTGTAATCTCATAATATCGAGGAAGGCGCCGTTAGAACAGTGTAATAACAGTCATTGTCAACAAACTAACTGGTTACCAAGGGGCTTGCGAACTTCAACACTAAATACAGCTTTGGTAGTTTATTAAATTGATCTTCAATTAGGTTTCTTTAAAGCTACTCAAGTTGTCAACAATGGTTCATTCCATCATTGCGCTGTCTAGTTGCAGTATCTAGCAAGTGTTTGCAACGAAACTTGCGCAGGCCTAGCGCTGCAAACATAGACAGGGCTGCAAATGGCAATAGCTAGAGCGAGCAATAGGTTCCGTGCATAAACGTTGAATGTATTGACCAACTGGCGCTTCCGAAGTGCGAGATGGTTCCTAATCGTGCAGTTTGTAGCTATACATTGCAATGCTATAGCGTGACAGTAAATACAACAAATCTAAAGACAAACATCCCATCAATACACCTACCAACAGCGCTGTCAGACGCAGGAAGTAGCTATAGCTAGCTAACTGGTTCGTGCTAGCCCTAGCCACAGCCATTGCAGAAGTGCAGTGAGCAGATTGACTGTTTCTGTCTGATTCGTTCAATGCTTACCGATGTGGTTGTCCTCAATATGCACGATGAGTTCGGCCAACGATTCGAAGTGGATTCCGCAACCACCGAATCTGCAACTGTTGGAGAAGAAGGAGGCAGCGGCGATGCCTGTCATGGTCTAAGCTACCTGTACATTGAATATGTGGGCTAGAGAGGGGAGCCAGCTACAGACACCAACAGGCAGCTGCGGAAGCAGCTGGAGCGTAGTCAGGGGTGGGTGAGCGGAGCGAGGAAGGGCAAAGGGGCTATGCCGCGTTCAAGTGCTAGTCGGAACTAGGAAACTCGAACATTTCGATTTGCTAATTTATTGAATGCGGCACGTGAATAACTAAAACCAGTTAGCAAGTCGAACATTTCCGAGTTTCCTAGTTCCGACTAGCACTTGAACGCGGCAATAGGGACAGTGACATCAGCATTGCGTGTTGAGCACCCGAGGTAACTCACTTTTATTATCAACGTCAAGAATAATTTACGTATCTGTGTTGCGTTGCAATATTGTGAATTGTAGGTCAGAACAGTAGGCAAAAAAAAACACCATTGTCTTGTTTATCTTCAGACTTCTCTGCCTTTGATACGTGAACCAATCTCCTCTCCACCTCTCGAGTGGCTCTCCGTGCGGCTCACTCTGAGCGTACTGACGGTCGCTACTACAGTGGTGGCGAAAGCTGTCTCGCACGTGCTCTACCACTGTGTCCAAGGCTCAGTTTGCCCTCTCCTATTCGTATACACGTCTGTATATCTCCATGGCTCCCTATATTGCTGCTGACGGACACCTATTTTCCTTCCCCTTCTATAACCGTGGCGATCGCTCTCGCAGTCTGCACATATCAAATACGGTACCACTCAAAACTGGCAGGGAGCTGCTTTAGTCCGGGAGGACTCCCTTCATGACTCGCTTGACAACTCGTTTTCTCCAGAGTCGAAGGCCTGGCATGACTGGACAAACCCTGTCGTTTTGCAGCTACCCGACTGTAGTTCATGCTTACAACATTAGAATTAGACCTAACAGGACGCACAGGCCTATCCGCACTTGCATCTCCATCTTTCTGCAACGCTTTGGGTCCTCCGTGCCTAAATAAACTCTCAGAATGCGCAGCCCTCTGGTTTAACCTTCCCAGTAACATGCACACTCATGCTTCCATTGAGTTCGCATCGTTACAAGACATGGTCTGCTATGGACTGTAGGGGAACGGCACCTAATCAGGCTTGATCATCCCTACACCAACGAGGCATTGCGTCATCCACCTCTGCTGCTGGCCCCTTCTCTGCGGCTAGTTCACCCCAGTCAAACTCGTGTCTGGCACCATGTTGAACACTCCTCACGCGCCAGAGCGGAGTCATCCCACCTAGACATTTGAAACCCCACCTCTTAAGAATCCTGCTAGGGTAACCCCCTTGCATCCATTCAGCCACAAGAGCATTAGTGAGGTCGGACACTGATGTTGGGCAATTAGGCCTGGCTCGCAGTCTGCGTTCCAATTCATCCCAAAGGTGTTCGATGGGGTTAAGATTTCCCTTCACTGGAACTAACGGCCCTAGCCCAAACCATGAAAAACAGCCCCAGACCATTATTCCTCCTCCACCAAACTTTACAGTTGGCACTATGCATTGGGGCAGGTAGCGTTCTCCTGGCATCCGCCAAACCCAGATTTATCCGTCAGACGGTGAAGCGTGATTCATCACTCCAGAGAACGCGTTTCCACTGCTCCAGAGTCCAATGGGGGCAAGCTTTACACCACTCCAGCCGACACTTGGCATTGCGCATGGGATCTTAGGCTTGTGTGCGGCTGCTCGGCCATGGAAACATTTACATTTTTTACATTTTAGTCATTTAGCAGACGCTCTTATCCAGAGTGACTTACAGTTAGTGCATACATTTTCCATACTGGCCCCACGTGGGAATCAAGCCCACAACCCTGGCGTTGCAAGCGCCATGCTCTACCAACTGAGCTACAGGAAACCCATTCCATGAAGCTTCCGACGAACAGTTATTGTGCTGAAGTTGCTTCCTGGGCAGTTTGGAACTCGGTAGTGAGTGTTGCAAGGACAGACGATTTTTACGTGCTACGTGCTTCAGCACTCGGCAGTCCCGTTCTGTGAACTTGTGTGGGCTTCCACTTCACAATAACAGCACTTACAGCAGTTCTAGCAGGGCAGAAATTTGACGAACTGACATGTTGGAAAGGTGGCATCCTATTACGGTGCCCTGTTGAAAGTCACTGAGCTCTTAAGTACGGGCCATTCTACTGCCAATGTTTGTCTATGTAGATTGCGTGGCTGTGTGCTGTGTACTCTCCCGAGTGGCGCAGTGGTCTAAGGCACTGCATCACAGTGCTAGCTGTGCCACTAGAGATCCTGGTTCAAATCCAGGCTCTGTCGTAGCCGGCCGCGACCGGGAGACCCATGGGGCGGCGCACAATTGGCCCAGGGTAGGGGAGGGAATGGCTGACAGGGATGTAGCTCAGTCGGTAGAGCATGGCGTTTGCAATGCCAGGGTTGTAGGTTCCATTCCCACGGGGGGGCAGTATGAAGAAAAATATGTATAATGTATGCACTAACTGTACGTCACTCTGGATAAGAGCGTCTGCTAAATGATAAAAATGTGTGCTTGATTTTATACACCTGTCAGCAACGGGTGTGGCTGAAATAACCGAATCCACTCATTTGAAGGGGTGTCCACATTCTTTTGTATATAAGCTTTTGTATTTATAGTGTATAGGTTCATAAAAACCACACAAGCAAAAACAATGTTACGAACAAATACATTCAATTTCATGAAAACATGAACTTATTCATGTTGAATGGACTCAAAAGTGGCAAGTTTGGTCAAAACAACAAGCATTTGACATATTTTCCCATGAATAATATGAGTAAAGTTGCTAAACAGTAACAACAAAACAAGATAACATACTTGGTTCATTTGAAATTTGTTTGACTTGCATTTGAATTTATATTTTGGTCAACAGCTTTCCCAGCATCAGACAACTATAGACATGAATGAACTTGAGTGCAGTGGTGTAATGAAAAGAGCATAGACCGTTTTCTGTGTTTTTTTTCCCCAGACACACAGAAAACGGTCTATCTTGAAAAGCACAGCACTTGCTTCTTATGCAAAGATCTTTTCAACTGATTTTTTCTTCTTCTTTTCAGCACCAGTGACAGATGTCCAACCAGCATCCCGCATCCTTTTCATTGCAGAGAGCTTTAAAGCACTCCCAGGTGATTTCTGAATGGCAGGGCTCTGGATCTGAAACATTACAGACTAATACTGACCTGGACATCACAGCATTAACTACTTTTACAAGTTACAGACTATATTTTAGAAGTTGCAGAGTATAGACTATACCATAAAATGCAATATGGTATTCCACAACTTATTTCATAATGCAGAGGGAGTACTGCCAAGTAAGTCAAGTATTTGGTGTTAATGTAAGGCTGGCTCATTCTACCTTCCTGAATATATCCACTTTTTGATGCTGTGCTGCTGGGACACTTGGCTGCAGGCTGCTCTCGAATGGATCAGTTGCAACTGCAATGCTCTGCCATTATAAGAACCAGAAAGACCCAAGTTAGAAGATGTGATATGTAAAGCAAAAATGATTTCCACAATTAAATGTGCATGTACATTCCATCCAGCATGCATATAAAGTTATGAGTTTAACTTATTTGTGGTCATTGGGAGTTTTAAAGCCAATCCAATGTTTTAAGCAAATCTAAGTTAAAGCAGTGTGTTCATTAGATCTTGAAGCATTATTTACCAATAAATCATTATGTTCAGAGCTGTCAGACTTGGGGTCAAGCTCCAGGGTGCTCTTCCCCCAGGGCACAGACTTCCCAGTGGACGGAGGAGTTCTGATTCTGTAAGACTGTGGAGAAAATCACTCAATCACTCACAGAGAAATAGGATGGAGAGAATCCTCTGGGGGAATGGTTCACATATCATGGGTCAACAAATGAAAATACAGTTAATGAATACTACACATAAAGAAATCTAGCAACATATTCCAATACCTTAATCCGTGGTGTTGCGCCAACTATATTGGTGGAGCTCCAAGATGGAGTTCTGAGAGCTTCGGTTTCCTTTGACACATCAAACATACGACGTCAGTTAATCTAATAAATTCTACAGTGATCATACAACATACAGGTCATTTATTATTGAATAGCCTAGCTTATGCATTATGAATACAACACACAAAATAATCAACCAATTCCAATACCTTCATTCGTGGTGTTGCTGCAACTCTAGTCATGGAGCTCCAAGATGGAGTTTTTGGGGCTTCGTTTTCCATTTCCTTTGACATGTCAAAAATATCAGTTCATCTAATACAGTGATCATGCACATGGATGTAGTGGAGAAACCTTTCAGAAAACGTTTGACCTGAACACAATCATTTTTAAGAAGTTCATGATCACTTACATTAATGTTTGGAGTTAAAGCAACTTTTTTGTCTGAGCTTTGGGATGGGGTTACAGAGGCTTTCTGAGTTTTTGGCTTTCTCTGACTGTCCTTTGCCAAACGGAACACAGGCATCTTGGCGGAGGAGGATACTTTGGGGGTTTCAGAACACCTCACTTCTTTGGACTTTGGCTCAGGCAGCTAATTTGTAAATATAACAAATTAAAAAAAAATTTGTCAGACACTTTTAAACAACACAAACTGTTGTTGTAATGCTCTGAAATCTGAATATATACCTGTTTATCCTGTGTCTCCAGTTGCCTGCTCTTTTTCTGAGATGTCATCTCTTTTTTCAGGTCTGTAATCTCTTGTAGTAAGCTTTCCTACAACCCAACATGACATCATGACTGAGTAAATAGACAACATTTGTCACTTGACACAGCTTTGTCAGCATGGGACATGACACACTTACCCTCTCATTCATTTCTTTCATTAGTTGTTCCTTCAAACGGTCATTCTCAATGTTCTGCTGTGACAGCTCCAATTCCTGAGGAAAAATCAGAAAAATATCCAAGAAGCAGAGCTATGACACTCTACTGAAATACTCCCAGTTAATCCAATCTCATGTGTATTTCTCTACTATAATGTATCATACCAGTGATGTTCTATTAGCAGTAGCCTCCATGTCTTTCCTCTTCTTCTCATCAAGCTCTGCATCTTTCTCCTCAACCATTTTGTCATACTGGTTCTGATACCAACAGAGAATTAAATGTTAACAAACACACATGGAGAACATTTTATACAACATGCAAGATGGCAGCGGTGTTGGTGTAATCTGTGGATATTGACCAAAAGATAACTTTACCTTATGCTTTTCCATCAAGGCAACCATGTCTGCTATCTTGTTCTGACATTTGATTTCAACATCTTCCTTACTCTTGACTGCATCTGTAGCTGTAAGCTGTAGCTTTTGCACCTGCAGGGATCAAGATGTGCAGTAAGTATATTGCCACATCTACCAGAATGTACCTTACAGAATGTAACTTCCAACAAGCACCTTTTTCTGAAGCTCTGCCTCAGATGTTGATTTGGTTCCAAGGTCATCAAGCAATCTTTTACATTCCTCTTCATTTGATCGTTGAACATTTTCTGACTCCTCTTTCAATTTGTTTATCTGTAATGGATGACAAACCAAGTTGCATCACAACTGCATTACAATGTTGCACTTGTCTTGTAAGTGATCATTTAAAAGCCACACGGTACCTCATTTTCAAGTTCACTGGATTTTGCTGTCTCAATTGCAATTTGTTTCTTCAACGTTTTGTTCTGAGAACAAACAAGTAAATGAAAAACAGGTTATAGAAAGCTGAATGTTTTATATTACTGTATAATTAATTAGTAATTTTATCAACAACAAAAAATTGTCAACACAAACCTCTTTTTGGTATTCGTCCTGGACTTTAGTTTTACTCTCTAATTTTATCTTCAGGTTGGACAGCTAGAGAGAAAAAGCAAAGTGTTTGATAAGATAATTAAAGAGAAAATAATCCAGGTGTAGACATGACTTTGATAATGACCTTTGACTCCACTGCTTTCATTTGTTTCTCTTTCTTTGCGAACTCAGCTTGCAGATCTCCACACTACAGAAATAAAGTAAAACAGAAAATAGTCAACTTGATTTACTATCACTCATTTGTGTGAATATAGAATAAAACTGACGTGCATTTACATTTGGACATTTATAGTACATGGCCATATCATTTTGTGTTAAACAGACATCATGTTGAAAGTTCCAATACAGACGTTTTAATTTCAATATCAAATCATTTCTGGGTAACAATTAAGTATCTTACTGTGACTGTTTTCAAATAAAATAGTAAAAAATAAACAAAAATAGCTTCTTAGCAAAGAGCAATTTCTCAAGCAATAATTTTGCTAGGACTGTCTGGGAGTTGTCTGAGTGGGGAGGGGGAAACTGAAAACTAGCTGTTATTGGCAGAGGTTTGGAAAGTCTCTTTCTAATTGGTCTATTAACTAATTTACCACATGGTGATGACACCAGGCAGGCCAAAACTCCATTCCACCAAAACAGGCAATAATTTCAGGCGGTCTTTTCAAACTTTTCAAACACTAAAAGGGAATTATCATAATTTTCACAATTTCACAGTATTATTCCAACCTCCAGACAGTTGATTTGCTTACACTTTCTTCAAGTTTATTCTGCAGATTCTCAGTGTCTTGGCCTTGCTCTTCAACTTTGGCATTTAAGGATTTCAATTCCTCTCTACAGGAAAGAAAAGGTGAATGATTTGGAAAAAAAAGAATGTTGCTGCATTGTATAATTACTATAATTACTAAAGATTTATAAACAATGAACTCTAACTGACCGTAATTGTTGGTTTTCTTCTTGGAGTCTTTCAATTTCCTTCTTCCTCTTCATCTCTTTTGCCTCACTCTCCTGAATGAGAAAAATATTCCCATTACAACACACTACCATGAATTATCAACAAACTGCTAAATTATTCTGTATTATACTATACAGACAGCAACACATGTTCAATTCATACAGACCTTAAGTTGTGCTATCAGAATGGTTGCCTCTGAAGATTCATTCTGAATCTTCTCCAGAATAGTATTTTTCTCAAGTTGCAGCTGATTGAAACTTGCTGATAGCTCCTCATACTTCACCCTGGGGAAGAATTCACATTCAGCATTATTTAAAGAGACATGGAGGAAAAATATCCCTCAGGTTATTGAATAATTGATATTTGAACATCAAAGGACTCACTCATGCTGTACAATGTCTGTCTTTAGATGATCTTTCTCCTTGATGGATTTTTCATCCCTTCTCATTGCAGCAGATAACTGGCCCCTCAATCTCTTTTATTTTCCTCTGTGGGATACAACATATGAAAAATCTATTTCCTGGACTCATGCAGGTGTCAAACAAAAAATGTAAACACAAATATGCATTGCCAATATTGTGCAAGGAAAATACAATTAATAGAATCAAACCTCAGTCATATTGGATTTTTCTTTCAAGTCGTTTTGCATCGTTTCAGCCTTTTCAAGAGCCTTTTCCAGTAAAAATTTTTCAACAGACATGGTTTTCCACTTTATTCTAGAAGGGTACAACATATTCCAATATTAAAAGATAATAAGACTTATGCAAACCAATATCCTTCTGAATAAGTAGCGCTACAAATGTATCTACACAACAATCATCTGAACATCATCTCACCTTGACTTGGTGAATTTCAGCATGTTTCCCCTCAAGCTCTGTGGTGAGTTCTGATGTTCTGGTCTCCACAATTTTAATTGTTTCCTCTAGTGACTGTATGGATTTAGTTTTGAAATCCTAAAGGCAAGAGTTAAATAATGTATCTTTCATTAACCTCACTACATGGACTAGGCATGACATTTATGAGGGAAGTGCCAATTTAGTTCACAAATACGGTAATCTTTACCAATTCATCTTCAAGGATTTGCAGCTGGCTGTCTTGGTTTTCTTTCTGTTCTTTGAGCTCTCCTAGAAAACAAAAAGTATATTTAATCTATGGTTGCATACAAGCTAAAAACAAATGTCAATGTTTGGAAAATAAAGCAATTATAACACGAGAGGGTGTGTGATACACCTTTTTTAGCACGGCGGTAGGTACGAGGCGAAGCCGAACAATACTTTACCTAATTCAATGTTTTTCCAGTCAAGTTCCTCTGTGACTGCAGTAAGCTTCAGTTCAAGTTCTTTTGCCCTGGGAAACAAGTTAACATTCAAAGTAATATAAGAATCTTGATTACCATTCTGACTATTTGGGTTCACCAAACATGAATTTCCCACCTCTGTATCTCAACTGTTAATGATGTCTGAAATTCCTGGGCTGTGGCCTGAATCTCTACAAGCTTGTCTGCTTGTTGATCTTTTATTTTGTTGAGCTCTTCCAAGCTTGAGTCTTTCTTGGCAATGACCTTTGCATTCTCCTCTTTGTTGCGCTCTAATGCTGTCGCAATAGCTTTTCTATTTCCCTAAAGAGATTCAAAGTAACAATGCATGTTTTCCATTGTCTCATTATGTACTGTCCACAGCCGCATAAAGATAAATAACACTTTAGAATGTAAAATGACAAACATATGCCCCCTTGGAATATGCATGATGAATTGCATAACTTGTGATTTAAATATTATTTTCATCAGCATATTAGAGTACAAGAAAACATACTAACCTCACATTCTTCATTGAGTTGTTCTGCACTTTGCAGACTTTCTAACAGGGATTCTTGTTCTTGTTTGCAACATTGAAGGGCTTCCTGATGTTGCTCTGTCATGATATTATACAGGAGTAAAGCAGTTAGGATGCAGCTACCATGCTTTAAGTTTAACTTCCAGTAAAATGCATGAAATGGAGGTAAAGGTTCACCAAGACCTATTCGGACGGAATTAGTTTTACTGGGGGTAATGTAATTATGTGCACGAGAACAAAACACCACATCCGTAATCTTTGCTTAGTTGTGCACCGGGGCCTCCCACTCCTCTTCAATTCTGGTCAGAGCCAGTTTGCGCTGTTCTGTGAAGGGAGTTGTACGAGATCTTCAGTTTCTTGGCAATTTCTCACATGGAAAAGCCTTCATTTCTCAGAACAAGAATAGACTGACGAGTTTCAGAAGAAAGTTATTTGTTTCTGGCTATTTTGAGCCTGTAATCGAACCCACAATTTCTGATGCTCCAGATACTCAACTAGTCTCAAGAAGTCCAGTTTTATTTAACAGTTTTCAGCTGTGCTAACATAATTGCAAAAGGGTTTTCTAATGATCAATTAGCCTTTTAAAATTATAAACTTGGATTAGCAAACACAACGTGCCATTGGAACACAGGACTGATGGTTCCTGATAATAGGCCTCTGTACGCCTATGTAGATATTCCATAAAAAATCAGCCGTTTCCAGCTACAATAGCCATTTACAACATTAAGAATGTCTACACTGTATTTCTGATCAATTTTATGTTACTTTAATGGACAAGAAATTAGCTTTTCTTTCGAAAACAAGGACATTTCTAAGTGACCCCAAACTTTTGAACGGTAGTGTATGTGGACACCTGCTCGTCAAACATCTCATTCCAAAATCATGGGCATTAATATGGAGTTGGTCCCCCCTTTGCTGCTATAAAAGCCTCCACTCTTCTGGGAAGGCTTTTCACTAGTTGTTGGAACATTGCTGCGGGGACTTGCTTCAATTTAGCAACAAGAGTATTAGTGAGGTCGGGCACTGATGTTGCGCGAATCTGCCTGGCTCGCAGTCGGCGTTCCAATTCATCCCAAAGGTGTTCGATGGGGTTGAGGTCAGGGCTCTGTGCAGGCCAGTCAAGTTCTTCCACACCGATCTCGATAAACCATTTCTGTATGGACCTCGCTTTGTGCACAGGTTTTCCCTTCACTGGAACTAAGTGGCCTAGCCCGAACCATGAAAAACACCCACAACTATTATTCCTCCACCAAACTTTATAGTTGCCACTATGCATTGGGGCAGGTAGCGTTCTCCTGGCATCCGCCAAACCCAGATTTATCTGTCGGACTACCAGATGGTGAAGTGTGATTCATCACTCCAGAGAACGCATTTCCACTGCTCCAGAGTCCAATGGCAGCGAGCTTTACACCATGCCGATGCTTAGCATTGCGCATGGTGATCTTAGGCTTGTGTGCAGCTGCTCGGCCATGGAAACCCATTTCATGATGCTCCCGACGAACAGTTATTGTGCTGAAGTTGCTTCCAGAGGCAGTTTAGAACTCGGTAGTGAGTATTGCAACCGAGGACAGGCGATTTTTACACGCTACGTGCTTCAGCACTCGGCGGTCCGGTTCTGTGAGCTTGTGTGGCCTACCACTTCGCGGCTGAGCCGTTGTTGCTCCTAGACGTTTCCACTTCACAATAACAGCACTTACAGTTGCCCGGGGCAGCTCTAGCAGGGCAGAAATTTGACAAACTGACTTGTTGGAAAGGTAGCATCCTATGACAGTGCCACGTTGAAAGTCACTGAGCTCTTCTGTAAGGCTATTCTACTGCCAATGTTTGTCTATGGAGATTGCATGGCTGTGTGCTCTATTTTATACACCTGTCAGCAACAGGTGTGGCTGAAATAGCCGAATGCACTAATTTGAAGGGGTGGGCACATACTTTTGTATATATAGTGTATATTTCATATGACTGGCCTGCCTTTATCAACTTTCATACTGAATACTTTTCTTTATATGTTTTGTGCCAGTGAATTGAAGTTGAACATCGCCAAATGTGTCAGCTTAATTAGGCCTAAATGCGCAATAAAAAAGTATTGCGGTTATAGGCTTATTTAAAGGGGCAATCTGCTGTTGCTACATCCATTTTGGGATTTGTGAATTATTGATATGTACCCATTGATTCTTGACGAATACAACTTATAAATGCCTCATGAGCTTAGTTCAACTGTCGTACCCCATCAGAACCTAAAATGTAAGCTTGTTTTACTCTGATGTTTGTAAACAATGTAAATGTAAACAAACACTTTATAGCCTAAAACTATAATTTTGATATCATGGATGCCCAGACTTTGCATCCATAGCTATGTCTTTGAATTTGAGAGTGGTTACATTTCTTCAGCCCCATCCCTCAGCTTTTTACCAAAACAGAAGCGGGAGAAGGCATTGTTATTGTTTAAACTGCTGATTGCCGCTTTAATGAAACCCTGGCTGTTGATGTAGTAGGCAGTAGATTAATAGATCACAAAGCATCCCGATCCACTGAGCTCAACTTTTTTGGAAATGGCAAGTTCACTTTCTCATCCATAAATGTATCTCAAGTGCAAATAGGCCTACTGTTCAGCAGCTCATATCAGCAGGATTGGAGGCATTTTTATTCGGAGGGACTTCTACCGTGGATCGCTAAAATAATGATTTTGATCACACTTCCTCAATTTAAATATTATGGGGACACCTATAAATTTGGCAGCCAAGCACGAGTTATCAGTGTAGCCTACTGTCTAGACATGACGTTGAAATATCTTCACACCTAGAATAAAAACCTCCAGGCTTCTGTCATAATGGTAAATTGAATGAAGGGAAAAAAAGAATAATGGAGGCAGTTTGGAAAAACATCCTGTGCAAATCGTCCTATGGAATAACTCACATGCTGGGATAATAATTACATAACCAACGTCTCTAGTAATATTAGTCTCGTCCAAATAGTGACCATCTTACTTTCTGCCTGTTGTAACCGTTTGCAACTCTCTTGGGTTTCATGGAGGTTGAGCAGGATTGCCTGAAGTTCTTTTTCTTTGTCCTTCATTTTCATCTGAAGTATCACAACCTGTAAGAGATACTTTCAGTTTGCATAGTCTACATACACAATGTCAAATACTGTTCATATTGTTTGTGACAACAAGGTTTACAAAAATGTTTGTTTTGGGAACCACTCAGAGAGAGGGTGTCCATTACTCATGTTGAGTCAGTTATAGACGAACCTCTTCTTCTTTCATGCTGAATTCTTTCTCAAATGTCTCCTTTAGAATGGCACATTCTTGCAAATCCTCTTTGACTGTAAAATGTTCACATCATTGGAGTTATTGTTCTCTTTTTATATACTGTGTAAAGTGCCTAGTGTTATGTTCACAACAACACAATACAAGTGCATTGATGATGATATATACATACCTTTCAGCATTTCATGGCGGTCAGTTTCTGCTTGAATACGTAGGCTCTCAAAGGCAGCACTCATCCTCTATAACAATTAATTAACTTTTTTTTTTTATTGTTCTTCACTAGCATCATGTAACTGACGCCATACATGCTTTATTAATGAAGATAACAAATACATTATATCATTTTAATCAAAAGAACAGGAAATTATAATATTCACCTGAATACTTTCACTGTTGTCCATGAACAAGTGATGGGTTTCCTCTCTTTCAGATTCAACTAAGAGAACATAGGTTGGTTTGAGGACAACGTAGACTACGAAATGTCATCATTTTGCATTCAGGCAACTAGCATGTACACTTAGGCTGAGTAGACGGCATGTTTTACTCACATAGATGGATTTTCTCCGCTGATCTTTCAAACGTATCCTTCAGTATATTACATAGGTTCCGTGTTGCATTGTTTCTGTTGAAGAAATAAACATTACAGATAAAAGCAGAATGATGATGATACAATCTATAGTGACAGTATCATGTTATAATCAAATACATACTTGTTCTGCAGATCATCATTCTCACTGATCTGATCTTCTAGTTTTATGCTGAGGCTTTCATTTCCGAACTGAACATAAAGGAAAGGAAACATAGGATAACAATAATAATAATATTTTTTTTAAAGGACTATAGCATTTTTACTCTGTCATTTCAATATAGGCCTATACCTGTACATTTACTGGTACAAACCTGCAATTCTTGAATGGCTTTGCGTTGGGTTTCAATTGTTATTTTGTTTTCCTGCAGCTTCCTGTCTTTTTGCACAGCCTCTGAGTCCACTTTGACTTTCCAATATTTTACTTTCTGAACTTCTTCAAAAAGTTTTGAATACAGCTGACTGGGTTTGAAATTGGTCTAGGAAGATTTAGAAAACACATATCAGAACTTTACAGCATAATCTATGCATAATCACATCAGCGAAGGCTGGTGGGAGGAGCTATAGGAGGACAGGCTCATTGTAATGGCTGTAATGGAATCAATGGAACGGAGTCAAACATGGTTTCCATATGTTTGATACTTTTCCATTCCAGTCTTTACAATGAGCCCATCCTCCTATAGCTCTTCCCCCACCAGTCTCCTCTGAATCACATAGCCTATTATTTAAAACTAATGCTCCTGAGAAGTGAGATAAATTGAGATAAAGGCTCATTTGCTCACATGCGACTAATCTCGGTTAATCTCGCGTAATTGGTCAGATGCTCGATTAAGTTCTGGGTCCATACATGTGAAGAGAAGAGATAGAACGAGGAGCTCCACCCTCTCTCTTTGCAAGTTACGGGTAAGTCTATGGGCCAAATGTCCCCTCCCCTTCCGAAATTCGACACACCACACCAAATCTAGATTTTTCCAAATAACCGGTGAGGAAAAACCCAAGGACCGGAACTAATGCTGCTCGCTATCTCCCGCATCCCGTTGTATCATGACAGACCTACGGTACCATTTATGTTTACGTAGTCTCTCCACCAGAGACTAACACTCAACTAATATTGGCTTGCTGGTGAGTTGTAGAATGTGTTATCTATCTAGGCCAGTGGTTTTCAAACTTTTTCAGCGGGGACCCCATTTCTTTAGCCAGAATTTCTGATGACCCCACCCCTCCCCAAATCTGATGACACAACCTTAAAATCAGTCAATTTCTTTCTTATCAATGTATCTTTCCCAAAAACGTTTGTATATTGTCCCATACAATAATCTGTCCTCTTAATTTTTTGTTCAGCCCAAAAGTATTATTATTATCAAAAAAGTGCATTCGGAAAGTATTGAGACCCCTTGGCTTTTTCAAACTTTTGTTGAGTTACAGCCTTATTCTAAAATGGATTCAATTGGTTTTTTCCCCTCATCAATCTACACACAATACCCCATAATGCCAAAGAAAAAATTGGTTGTTAGAAATCTTTGCAAATGTATTCAAAATAAAAAACTGAAACATCAAATGTACATAAGTATTTATAACCTTTACTTTGTTGAAGTACCTTTGGCAGCAATTACAGCCTCGAGTCTTCTTGGGTATTACGCTACAAGCTTGGCACACCTGTATTTGGGGAGTTTCTCCCATTCTTCTCTGCAGAGTCTCTCAAGCTTTGTCAGGTTGGATGGGGAGCGTCGCTGCACAGCTATTTTCAGGTCTCTCCAGAGATGTTCGAACGGGTTCAAGTCCGGGCTCTGGCTGGGCCACTCAAGGACATTCAGAGACTTGTCCCGAAGCCACTCCTGCATTGTCTTGGCTGTGTGTTTCGGGTCGTTGTCCTGTTGAAAGGTGAACCTTCGCCCCAGGTTTTCATCAAGGATCTCTCTGTACATTGCTCCGTTCATCTTTCCCTCAATCCTGACTGGTCTCCCACTACCTGCCTCTGAAAAACATCCCCACAGCATGATGCTGCCACCACCATGCTTCACCGTAGGGATGGTGCCAGGTTTCGTGACGCTTGGCATTCAGGCCAAAGAGTTCAATCTTGCTTCTCATGGTCTGAGAGTCCTTTAAGTGCCTTTTGGCAAACTCAAAGCGGGATGTCATGTGCCTTTTACTGAGGAATGGCTTCCGTGTGGCCACTCTACTATAAATGACTGATTGGTGGAGTGCTGCAGAGATGGTTGTCCTTCTGGAAGGTTCTCCTATCTCCACAGAGGAACTCTGGAGCTCTGTCAGAGTGACCATCGGGTTCTTGGTCACCTCCATGACCAAGGCCCTTCTCCCCCGATTGCTCAGTTTGGCCAGGCGGCCAGCTCTAGGAAGAGTCTTGGTGGTTCCAAACTTCTTTCATTTAAAAATGATGGAGGCCACTGTGTTCTTGGTGACCTTCAATGCATCAGACATTTTTTGGTACCCTTCCCCAGATCTGTGCTTCGACACAATCCTGTCTCAGAGCTCTACGGACAATTCCTTCAACCTCATGGCTTGGTTTTTGCTCTGACATGCACTGTCAACTGTGGTACCTTATATAGACAGGTGTGTGCCTTTCCAAATCATGTCCAAACAATTGAATTTATCACAGGTGGAGTCCAATCAAGTTGTAGAAACATCGCAAGGATGATCAATGGAAACAGGATGCACCTGAGCTCAATTTCGAGTCTCATAGCAAAGGGTCTGAATACTTATGTAAATAAGGTATTTCCGTTTTTTATTCTTAATACATTTGCAAAACAATCTAAAAACCTGTTTTCGCTTTGTCATTATGGGGTATTGTGTGTAGATTGATGAGGGAAAAATTAATTGAATCAATTTTAGAATAAGGCTGGAACATAACAAAATGTGGAAAAAGGGAAGGGTTCTGTCACGATCGTCGGGAACAGAGGACCAAGGCGCAGCGTGGAAGGTGAACATATTTTATTAATTTGAATGATAACACGAACAAAAACAACAAACGATAACGTGACGTCCAAAGGTGCAAAACACAAACCTATACAGGAACACGGAACAAGATCCCACAAACACTGTGGGAAAACTGGCTGCTTAAGTATGGTTCCCAATCAGAGACAACAAGCAACAGCTGATACACGTTGCCTCTGATTGAGAACCACACTGGCCAACATAGAACTACAAAACTAGAACGAAAACAAATGAAAACTCACACCCTGGCTCAACATACTAGAGTCCCCAGAGCCAGGGCGTGACAGTACCCCCCCCCCAAAGGCGCGGACTCCGGCCGCGCCAACCAAACACCACAGGGGAGGGACCGGGTGGGCACTCCGCCTTGGCGGCGGATCCGGCTCCGGGCCTGATCCCCACTCCCTCTCCAACCTCCCAAAGTACCCCTGGTCCGGTCTGGCCCCGCTGGCCGGAACTGGACTGCACACTGGTGGAGCGGATTGCTCTAGCTCCAGTGTGAAGCAGCTGACCGGTGCCGGACCAGGCACCGGTGGAACAGGCACGGGCCGTGCCGGACTGACGACGCACACCACTGGCTTGGTGTGGGGAGCAGGAACGGGCCGGACCGGGCTGGCGACGCTCACCATAGGCTTGGTGCGGGGAGCAGGAGCGGGCCGGACCGGGCTGGCGACGCGCACCATTGGCTTGGTGCGGGGAGCAGGAGCGGGCCGGACCGGGCTGGCGACGCGCACCATTGGCCTGGTGCGGGGAGCAGGAACAGGCCGGGCCGGGCTGGCGACGCGCACCATTGGCTTGGTGCGGGGAGCAGGAGCGGGCCGGACCGGGCTGGCGACGCGCACCATAGGCTTGGTGCGGGGAGCAGGAACAGGCCGGGCCGGGCCGGCGACGTGCACCATTGGCTTGGTGCGGGGAGCAGGAACGGGCCGAGCCGGGCTGACGAAGCGCACCACTGACTTGGTGCGGGGAGCAGGAACGGGCCGAGCCGGGCTGACGAAGTGCACTACAGACTTGGTGCGGGGAGCAGGAACAGGCCGGACCGGGCTGGCGACGCGCACCACAGGCTCGATGCGAGGGACAGGAACAAGCCGGACCGTACTGGGGACACACACCACTGGCCCTACGCGGGGATCAGGAACGGGCCGGACCGGACTGGTAACACACCCCAGTACCTCTCGCCGTGCCTCTACACTTTCCTTCCCCTTTAATACCAGTGGCCCCCGTAACCTGGCGGCCTCCTCTGCCAACCCGCTGGACCGCTCTATCGCGGCCTCCTGATGCCCCGTCGTCCCCGGCGTGAGCCCCCCCCTAAAAAATGTCTGGGCGGCTCTCCTCTTGGACCAGGCCTCCATGTCTCTAGCCAGACATTCACTCCACTGCTTCAAAGTCCAACCTCTCTGCTCTTCACTTGGCTTGGCCCAGTCGAGACTCTTACTCCACTGCTCCAAAGTCCATCCTCTCTCCCCTTCACGCTGCTTGGTCCAGGTATGGTGGGATCTTCTGTCACGGTTTCGGCCGAGGCTGCTCCTCCTCCTTGTTCGGGCAGGCTTCGGCGGTCGTCGTCTCCGGAGTACTAGCTGCCACCGTTCTTTGTTTTCGATGTTTGTTTGGTTTGGTCTGTTTGGTACACCTGTTCATGTTTAGTGTTGATTAGGTGTCCTATAAATTCTCGTTGTTTCTGTCATGTGTTGTGTGTAATTGTTTTCACCTGTCTGTTGGTGCTGTTCAGTTTTGCCCGTCGCTTGTTTGTACCGTCGCACTGTTGTTTCGTGCGCAGTCGGGTTTTTGGAGTTTTACGCACTGTTGCGTATTGTTCGCCTCCGGGTTTGTTTGACCCGTTTGTTATTTTGTTTATTCTAGTAAAGTCTGGTTGACTTAGCTCCTGTGTCCTGCACTTGATTCCACACCACATCCGCATCAGAGCCTTGACAGAATTACACACCACTTTATGGAATCAGCAGAAGCAACAGCAGCGCCTGTGTCGCTGGAGGAGCACGTCCGCGGCCAGGATGATCAGATCCGTCAGCTTGGGACCGCGCTGCAGGACGTCATCAACACATTACACCGATGGGAGTCCAGAGGGGTACCCACACCCCCATCTACCTCACCACCACCATCGGTCGGTCCGCCCATCCCAGGTCCGGAACCCAGTGGGATTCGGCTCACGCTCCCGAGGGCGTATGACGGCACAGCTGCCGGGTGTCAGGGGTTCCTCCTGCAGGTGGAGCTCTACCTGGCCACTGTACACCCGGTGCCCTCGGGACACGAGAGCGTTTCCGCCCTCATCTCCTGTCTCACGGGCAAGGCGTTGGAATGGGCCAACGCCGAGTGGAGGAGGATCGACGCCACCACCATCTCCTACGCGGAGTTCTCCCGTCGCTTCAAGGCCGTGTTCGACCATCCACCTGAGGGCAAAGCGGCGGGGGAGCGTCTCTTCTACCTCCGACAGGGGAGGAGGAGCGCACAGGCGTTCGCACTGGAGTTCCGGACTCTAGCGGCAGATGCAGGGTGGAATGAATGGGCCCTCATCGATCACTTTCGATGTAGTCTACAGGAGGACGTTCAACGTGAGTTGGCCTGCAGGGACACCAATTTCACATTCGACCAGTTGGTCGACAGGTCCATCTTGGATTCGAGACGTCGGATGGGGGGTCTCCAATATCTCGTGGAGTGGGAGGGGTACGGCCCGGAGGAGCGGTGCTGGGTGCCGAGGAGGGACATCTTAGACCCGTCTCTTCTGACTGAGTTCCATCGTGGTCATCCCACGCGCCCTGCTCCGCGTCCTCCTGGTCGTCCTCGAGGCCGGGGTCGGCGCACGGCTGGAGCCGCGCGTCAAGGGGGGGGGTACTGTCACGGTTTCGGCCGAGGCTGCTCCTCCTCCATGTTCGGGCAGGCTTCGGCGGTCGTCGTCTCCGGAGTACTAGCTGCCACCGTTCTTTGTTTTCGATGTTTGTTTGGTTTGGTCTGTTTGGTACACCTGTTCATGTTTAGTGTTGATTAGGTGTCCTATAAGTTCTCGTTGTTTCTGTCATGTGTTGTGTGTAATTGTTTTCACCTGTCTGTTGGTGCTGTTCAGTTTTGCCCGTCGCTTGTTTGTACCGTCGCACTGTTGTTTCGTGCGCAGTCGGGTTTTTGGAGTTTTACGCACTGTTGCGTATTGTTCGCCTCCGGGTTTGTTTGACCCGTTTGTTATTTTGTTTATTCTAGTAAAGTCTGGTTGACTTAGCTCCTGTGTCCTGCACTTGATTCCACACCACATCCGCATCAGAGCCTTGACAGGTTCTGAATACTTTCCGAATGCACTATATATTGTTGCGTGCTAAAGTTGACGTGACCATTGCAGTTTTTCAGAAGCAAATGTTTAGAACATGCCAAGTGGTTTTCTAAAGACCCATTGGAAATCACACCCCACTTCTGATTGCTACTCATTGGTGTAATATAAACAGGTGAACATATAGGGCAACGTCAGGAATCAAGGGGCTAGGCAAAGCAAACATCCCCCTCTGCTCTCTATAGCAGGTTTATTCCCCCACGTCCCACCCTACGTCCCACCAGCTCCAAGACACATCACATACTATTATGTTTTTATCTGTGTTCACACCAAACTAAGTTTACTTACTTCTTCATTTTCCATTGGTGGCACAACTTTCATCTTGAATACATCTTCTGAGGGGAGAGAAAATATATGAGGAAATAATTCAACCTCGAGATGCATGTGCAAGATGCAGGTTTAGCTGATCGCTATTTCTTTGACTAAAAAGCACCTTCAATGGAGTATCTGGGTCTGACAAACCAGGCCTAAAAAAATTGTTTTAAGTGTGAGCTTTCTGAAATTAAAGTTCCATATTAATTTGAACTGGGAGTAGCACAGTCACGTTCTGTATGTCGAATGTCCCTGTTGGGGCGGCAGGTAGCTTAGTGGGTAAGAGTGTTGTGCCAGTAACCGAAAGGTCGCTGGTTCTAATCCCTTAGCCGACTAGGTGAAAAATCTGTAGATGTGCACTTAAGCAAGGCACTTAACCCTAATTGCTCATGTAAGTCGCTCTGGATAAGAGCGTCTGCTAAATGACTAAAATGTAATTTTAAAAGTATAATGCATATGATAATAAAATACCTGATCTGGTGGATTTTGTTGGCACAACCGTATTCATAGAGGGAAAAGGCATGTTTGACTCTTTGTCCAAACATTTATTATAACCCTAAGACATGAAATAGCACATCAATGTAAGGTCATTCATATTGAGAGAATACCAAAATGTTTATTTCAAACAAAACATATAGCTGAGATACCTGCTGCAAAGTTTGCATGAAACATCCCCTATCCTCGACTGTTTCCTGTGGTTTGACGGTAGAAACCTGTCCTGGGAGTGGGTTGACTCTAGGAGGCACCAACAGCTTGAAGTTGAATCCTCTCTCTCTCTCCATCCTGAAAACGAAATGGTAACGTTAATGTTAGCTAGCTAGCTAGCTAATTGACAACAACACCCTATTGACAGTTGGTAAACTAGCAAGCAAGGGCCTTTGGCAATTATTTTCTTCAGAAAACGTTAGTGAGAAAACTGAAATGTTGGTACAACAGCAAACAGCTAGCTAATTTTAGCTAGCTACTGTAGCTAATGTCAGCTAGGCTGGCTGACATTAGCTAACTAGCTACTAGAAAAATAAATGTTGCGGTCAGAGACTGGCAACATTTACAGGAAAACGAAATATTTTGCAATAACATATTTAGCTAATTAATATCTAGCTAATTGTGAATTATTTGCTAACGTTAGCTAGTAGCACTGTACCTGGAGGTGAAGAAGACAGCCAACGGTTTTTGAGTTCAAATTCAACGGCTGAGCTCAACCTCAGGCACGGGCAGATCTTTTTTTAAATTAGCGCGTGGAAGGCGATGATTTCTTCACTTTCCAAACCTAAACCACAGACGACTTCTAAACTTTATTCCATCATAAACGACATTTTAAAATATCTAAAATATCGATATTTTTGTGTGCGTGTGCGGAATGTAGCTATCAAACGGATGCATTTGAAGAAATAGAAAGTTACATTATACCAGTAATTTATATGTATTTTATGGAAACATTGTAGACAGTTATTTTATACTTTGGCCACAGTAAATGACTACAGACCTTTGATCCAAAATAAATGACAGCATGTTCATTTGTTTTGTTTGTTTGTCATTGCATTTTCTTCCTCCTGAATATACAAAACATTAAGAACACCTGCTCTTTCCATGACAGACTGACCAGGTGAATCCAGGTGAAAGTTATGATCCCATATTGATGTTATTTGTTAAATCCACTTCAATCAGTGTAGATGAAGGGGAGGAGACAGGTTAAAGAAGGATTTGTATGCCTTGTGACAATTCAGAGGGTGAATGGGCAAAACAAAAAAATGAAAGTGCCTTTGAACGGGGTATGGTAGTAGGTGTCAGGAGGCGCACCCGTTTGTGTCAAGAACTGTAACGCTGCTGGGTTTTTCACGCTCAACGGTTTCCTGTGTGTATCAAGAATGGTCCACCACCCAAAGGACATCCAGCCAATTTGACACAACTGTTTCAAGCATTGGAGTCAACATGGGCCAGCATTCCTGTGGAACGCTTTCGACACCTTGACAAGTATATGCCCCGACGAATTAAGGCTGTTCTGAGGGCAAAATGATTAAGAAGGTGTTCCAAATGTTTGGTATACTCAGTGTATGTCTTAAATTCCATCATAATATATCTCCTTGCTATATGAACACAATATCCCATATCTGTTTAGTTTGTTTGTGTAAAGACCACATTATTGTCATCATCAATGTATGAAACACATTATTAAAAGTGTCTTTATGTGCTTATTTACTGACGTCAAAGTGCCTCCCGCCAAGTCCCTTGAGCATATGAAAATGATGATGACGACCAAAGATTGTCCCGTCCATAGAATTTGGAATTAGAACAATTTAAAAGGATCACTACGTAAAACTGCCCCTTAGACAAATGTGTAGTGGCTGTGTGTGATCGTTGCTATGCTGTGTCTGGTTGAGAGTACCAATGCTGTTTTGGTATCTATTTGCTTTGATTATCAGTGTTTGTTTATTCAAACAAAAATACTATTTATTGCGTAGAAAGTTATGCCACTGCAGTAATGTATTTTTGTTTGCAGTTTGTGTTTAGAGAAATGTTGATGGGGGTCCAAGCAGTATTGAACCTGTCCTATATTGAGGTTAGTCTTTTAGTTATGTATTCATATTTCTAAAATATTCACTGTTTATGTTTACATGTAGTGGCTAACCTTCTCTTTCTTTCATGCTATAGTTTTGTTTTTCACTGTGTGGACACGTGTGTGTGTGTGTGTGTGTGTGTGTGTGTGTGTTTGACAGACAGACATCTAAGAGAGATGTTGAAATGCACCAATTTGTAAGTGGCTCTGGATAAGAGCGTCTGCTAAATGACTTAAATATTAAATGTAAGATGAAAATATATTTCACTTCTTTCTTGGACAGTTCTTGGTAATGACCACAGGGTGGGAGTGTGTGACAGAAAACAGAAAAATAAATAATTATACATTGGGCCCCTACCTACAGAAAGCTTCCTACAGGACTGACTAAATACAAGCAGGATTATTATGAAATGGGCATCCTCTACATAAGGCGTGATCAGCATTTATTGTTTTCATATTTATTGTTTTCAGAAATGAAAGACATTGCTGTCAACAAACAAAGTCATACAGACACAGTGCAGAAGGTTGACCATGAGTGCACACAGCAATCCACAGGGAAAAAGTGACATCTGTAGTCTACCTCAGATTGCAGGCCTGAGGCCCTGTCACAACTGATGAACTCTCTCTCACTTCAGTTCAAACATGAAAAATAAACCAACCATGTTGTACCTTCCCCTCCTCTACTCTTCCACCCAGAACCGGACGTAGGAGGCAGGGAAGGACTGTGGTCTGTCATGGAAAACCATCACCAAAAAGGCAGGAGATTGGCAACAGTAGCGCTCTCTCATGGAAGCCTTATGTTCCACATAGGAAAGAAGAGGGTTAATTAAGGAAGTAAAACTCTTCCATCCATTCCTACCAAAGCTACAGTACCTTTCCTTCTCTCCTTACTTTTCCTTTCACGTTCTTTGGCACATGGCTCAGCCCTGGTTGTGTGCCCGGTGGTGGTGTAATGGACTGGGTCCTCCTCACCGGCCCAGTTCAGGCAGCATCAGAACTGGCAGCATCATGCTTGCTACTGGTAAACCTGTTTTTTCCAGGGCTGCGTCCCAAATGACACCCTATTCCCTATGTGGGGCTCTGGTCAAAAGTAGTGCACTATATAGGGAATAGGGTGTAATTTGGGACACAACCCAGGGCTGCTGGGCTGAGTAGTGTGGGATCTTTACAGTCAAAGCGTCATGGCATAATGACATCACAGTCATCGCCCTGTACTGTTTGAGAGAGAGAGAGAGTCAAGGCCTTTCATATGAAATGCTGCCACTGCTGCCTCTTCAGTCTCCACGGCTGTTTGTCCATGGTTGTTCTTGATAAGTAAAGCTGCTACTAATCAGACATCATTCACTACTGTGCAATTCATTACAGCTCATAAAAGCGGATGAGGTCATAGCTGTTATGTGTGATTTTCTGCATCAGAGATTTAGTGAAGACGTTGAATCTCTGTGGCAAACCAACCCACACACTAGTTCTATACTATGTGGTATTGAGGGGAAGACAAACTACTGTAAGTATTTGATTGGGAATTATAACTTCCACAGATATCCTTATGGATTTATCTACTGAATCCCACTACCACGGTTCTGGTCCATAACTGCTCTATGACCGTTGAAATCATGTTCATTTTATTTTGTATTTTATCTTTATTTATTCAGGAAGTCCCATTGAGGTGAGAAGACTTATTTTACAAGGCTGACCTGGCCTGTTCATGCAAAGCCATATACAGTGGGGAAAAAAAGTATTTAGTCAGCCACCAATTGTGCAAGTTCTCCCACTTAAAAATATGAGAGAGGCCTGTAATTTTCATCATAGGTATACGTCAACTTTGACAGACAAATTGAGAAAAACAATTCCAGAAAATCACATTGTAGGATTTTTAATGAATTTATTTGCAAATTATGGTGGAAAATAAGTATTTGGTCACCTACAAACAAGCAAGATTTCTGGCTCTCACAGACCTGTAACTTCTTCTTTAAGAGGCTCCTCTGTCCTCCACTCGTTACCTGTATTAATGGCACCTGTTTGAACTTGTTATCAGTATAAAAGACACCTGTCCACAACCTCAAACAGTCACACTCCAAACTCCACTATGGCCAAGACCAAAGAGCTGTCAAAGGACACCAGAAACAAAATTGTAGACCTGCACCAGGCTGGGAAGACTGAATCTGCAATAGGTAAGCAGCTTGGTTTAAAGAAATCAACTGTGGGAGCAATTATTAGGAAATGGAAGACATACAAGACCACTGATAATCTCCCTCGATCTGGGGCTCCACGCAAGATCTCACCCCGTGGGGTCAAAATGATCACAAGAACGGTGAGCAAAAATCCCAGAACCACACGGGGGGACCTAGTGAATGACCTGCAGAGAGCTGGGACCAAAGTAACAAAGCCTACCATCAGTAACACACTACGCCGCCAGGGACTCAAATCCTGCAGTGTCAGACGTGTCCCCTTGCTTAAGCCAGTACATGTCCAGGCCCGTCTGAAGTTTGCTAGAGTGCATTTGGATTATCCAGAAGAGGATTGGGAGAATGTCATATGGTCAGGTGAAACCAAAATAGAACTTTTTGGTAAAAACTCAACTCGTCGTGTTTGGAGGACAAAGAATGCTGAGTTGCATCCAAAGAACACCATACCTACTGTGAAGCATGGGGGTGGAAACATCATGCTTTGGGGCAGTTTTTCTGCAAAGGGACCAGGACGACTGATCCGTGTAAAGGAAAGAATGAATGGGGCCATGTATCGTGAGATTTTGAGTGAAAACCTTCTTCCATCAGCAAGGGCATTGAAGATGAAACGTGGCTGGGTCTTTCAGCATGACAATGATCCCAAACACACCGCCCGGGCAACGAAGGAGTGGCTTCGTAAGAAGCATTTCAAGGTCCTGGAGTGGCCTAGCCAGTCTCCAGATCTCAACCCCATAGACAATCTTTGGAGGGAGTTAAACGTCTGTGTTGCCCAGCGACAGCCCCAAAACATCACTGCTCTAGAGGAGATCTGCATGGAGGAATGGGCCAAAATACCAGCAACAGTGTGTGAAAACCTTGTGAAGACTTACAGAAAACGTTTGACCTGTGTCATTGCCAACAAAGGGTATATAACAAAGTATTGAGAAACTTTTGTTATTGACCAAATACTTATTTTCCACCATAATTTGCAAATAAATTCATTAAAAATCCTACAATGTGATTTTCTGGACTTGTTTTTCTCATTTTGTCTGTCATAGTT